TGTGTGTGTGTGGTTGTGTGTGAGAGTGTGTGTCTATGTGTGTGTAGTTGTGTGAGAGTGTGTGTCTGTCTGTGTGGTTGTGTGTGTGTGGTTGTGTGATAATGTGTGTCTGTGTGTGTGAGAGTGTGTGTGGTTGTGTGTGTGTGGTTGTGTGTGAGGGAGTGTGTGTGTGTGGTTGTGTGTGAGAGAGTGTGTGTCTGTGTGTGGTTGTGCGTGTGGAGGGGCCGCAGAGACGGGGACAAAAGGAATTCAAACATCGCCTCCACGTGTATCTGACTGATCCCCACCCAGACTTCATCCCTGTCGGTCATCTGTCAGATTGCGAAAGGAGGCGTCTGCTACAGAACGACACCCCGAACGAGATTCTCTATCTCTCCATCTTTATTGAGCATCTGGTGTATACAATAAACCAAAGGAACTGCATAAATAAATCTATATTTAAAAATCAGTGATGAGGGACATTTACTGTCGTGGATAATGGTTCAGAAGAGTTGGTTAACGATCTTGGAGGTAACGAACAAACACACAGGATGTTTCCTCATTTATTAGACTGGGAAGCCTTGAAATGTGATTGTCAAAAGACTATGATTGAGCCAGCGACTGGAAAAAAATGTAACAATAAACAGAATAAATAATCTAATATCAACAGTCTAAGATACACTTTTAAATCTTAGGACGAATCGCGTTTTAAAAGGTACCCTACTGAATTGGGATTGCATGTTTAATCTTGCTGTAAATTAATATTTTCGGTGGAATTATTTTGTTAACGTATTCTATCATTGGCCGTCAATGTCCTCTTTAAAACATGAATGTGTTCCCTGTGGAATAGTGGAAATTATTGCCGACAAAAGCCTGCCTAAGGAGATGCAGTCGATATATCAAGGGAGGAGGAGGCGGGCGGATTTCCTCCACCCTGCTCTGTCAATGCTGCTGCTGGACTCTCCGATGCTGCTGAATGCAGGGGGGTGGGAGGGAACTGGGAAATGCTAATCAGGCAGATGGTCTGGGATCTTGCTGGAGGAAGGGGGTGCGGTGCGGGGTCGAGGCGGTGCCAAGCCTGAGCTGCGGAGCTGTCTGAGCAAGCACCATTTTCAGCACCGCCAGGAAAAAAGAGAGACAGACAGAGACATCAGAAAGCATCTCCCTCCCTCCGTCACCCCCGCCTTGATCTCACAGATCGTTCACTCGACCGACAACCAGAGAGAGCTCCTGCTCGCGTTCCGTGGTGTGCATTAGAAACGGCCGGAGGTCAGAAACATGTTATCCTACCAAGGCAAGAAGAACATCCCGCGGATCACGGTAAGCACTAGCCTCAGTGACAGTGTGGCTTGCAGGCCCCCTGGGGCTGCTCTGTACCTCTCTCTGTGTATCTTTGAGAGTGAGACGAGCTGCCGGAGAGTGTGCAGTAAAAGCTCCAGCGAGGTTTTCCTCCTCACACGCACAAAAAAAGGGATGCCTCTATGTTTTAGTTAAGGGAGCGACCGCTCTGTATTGAAGCATTCAGTCTGAATGGACGCACCCAGGCGCTGCCTGAGGCTCCATTACAAAATGAAAGCAGGTCACTCGCTCCCATGTTATCCAGCAGTTTGCATTTCAGTGTATTGCAGTGATTTCATTCTGAAGAAATCCTCAGCCCCACCCACTCCTCTCCCCAAAGTGCATGTCAAGGCTTCCATAATCTATCTGTATTTCTTCTTACAAATAAATTATTGGACGGGGGTGGGGGGAAGAGAATAAATATCGAGCAGTTGCCTCCTCTTTGTAATAAAAAAAATCTTTTAGGTTTGATTGCATCTCAGTTATTCACCTCTTTTACAAAAAAAAGACGGGAGAGAAAGAAAGGAGGGTGCAGGCATGCGCACTCAGAGACCGTTCATCCTTTACATCTCGCTTCTTTGTGTTTGGCGGATTTTGCTGCAAAAACTGGGCGTAGTTGCTGTTTTCCAGGGAGGAATCTGCGGCTGTTGACCGTGTTTGTCGATTTCAAGAAATGTAACTGACCTGGATTGCTGGTCAACTAACTAATCGAATGCAAATATAAAACCTTCCGGGGGAAATTAATCAACAACACAGCCCCAAGTAATCACACACATCCTTTTCGTGTCACGTTGTTATCCTGCAAAATGTTATGGAGAAATAATAATGTAAAAGGGAACGATCGAAAATAATTACCGATTAATCGCCCCCACAAATCGTTTTCCAGTTCTTGAAATGTCAAAAGTTTGAGGGCAGAACAGAGGTTTGATCTGGATAGCATTTTGCTTTTTTTTATATAACATGGGCCTTTTTTTTCTCAGGGAGAGGCGTGGTCCGTCTGTACTTACAAAGGGCTCCTTGTGCCACAAAGCAGTTGCACTTGTAGACAGCATTATGAAAAGAACCGTTCAAAGATCATCCACATGGAGTGGAGTACAGAAGAAATTGATGCTACAAAAGCAGAAATTGATGGAAAAGCTCAGCAGGTCTGGTAGCATCTGTGGACAGAAATCAGAGTTAATGTTTGAGGTAAAGTAACCCTTTCCTCAGAAATCACTGGACCTGAAAGGTTGATTCTGATTTCTCGCTACAGATGCTGCCAGACCTGCTGAGCTTTTCCAGCAATTTCTGGTTTTGTTTCTGATTTCCAGCATCTGCAGTTCTTTCAGTGTTTAGAAATTAATGCTAGTTAGGATGGGTGATTAACAACATGGTCCCAAGGATCTAGGCTTTCAGCAGGCTTTGGAATAAATGTGAATCAGGGCAATGAAGTTTTGTGGAAAGCTTTGCTGTGTGTAATGACAAAGATTTTCTATCATTTGTAAAAGTGAGTGGGAAGGGCCCACACAGTCAGTCAGGGGCCAAAGAATAAAGGGTGCATAGTGGTCTGTAGGTCTGGAACTGATTTTAAATGTAGGGCCAGAAATAGGTAAAAGGGGAACTGGTGAAATAAAAATGCAGTTTACAGCCAACTTAGTTAGAGACTTAGTTAGATGCTGCCTGGACTGCTGTGTTCCTCCAGCCTCCCGTTTGTCTACCAGTTTTCAAACAATGCCTTGAGGATTGGAGAACCATTGGCATTCAGCAAAGCTACATGACTGCTCCTTACTGTAGGACAGGTCCAAGTTAAGGGATAAGTTGGGTCTTGTATAAGGTGAAGCTAGGGACAACAATATGTGGAATTTGGACGAAGCTGAGTTTTCAAATGGATGATAAATTCAGTGACAATGGTGTAAGCAAACCAGCAATATTTTTGAAGGGAACATTGACTCTGGTGATGAATTTGAAATTTGAGGCTCAACCCAGGTTAAACAGAGCAATGAGTTATTTGCCTGAAGCTCAGTTAGGATGAACAATCAAAGAGTTTGACAAGGGAATACAGTTTCTGTTCGGAGAGAAACAGGGTAAGTTTGCAGATGTAAAGTTTGAGAATGTTTAGCTTACTCATGATTTAATTTCAGCCAAGATGTTGCTTAGAGTATTGTAACAATCTGTGAGTTAAATATGTAAAAGAAAGGTAAAACCACATGTCATGAGTATATTATGGACACTGACCTCCATATATGTGCAGAATGTCTTAGTGGAAAAGTATATAGACAAATAATAGGAATGAGATAATGATATTGTCTGGAACCCGTTGAGGATAACTATCAGGGGTCAAAGTGAAAAAAATTGCAGAAAAGCATTAACCACGTTAGAACAGGTATGAGCAAATATATGTGTGCATGTGTGAGATACTGCAGAGAAAGGCAAAAGATCAACTTGGAATGGTCAATTGTACAAAGACCACGTAGAAGTGGAGTCAGTCACAAAGAGATAATGTTACAGTTAAGTCAGAAAGACTTTCACTGTGGAAAGCTGTGAGGAATGGGTAAGTTAGAAACATCACTGAAGGAATTCAAACAGGGAGAGGTAAGCACTGAGAAAGATGATGATAACTCTTTAAAGAAAATTTGTGAGAATAATGAAGTTAGGAATAGGGATTCAGTTGAAGAAGGTGGAGGTGTATTCAAAGTGCATAGAGAAGTAATGAATAGCAACAGTTTTAAATATGAGGGAAATGGGGGTTGTTGGAGAAAGAATATCTTACAGTGACAAAAAAAAAATTGTACTCGAAGATGTTTGAGTGGCCAGGACTTGATCAGTATTGGGTTTCGGGAATAGGAGTGGGAGTTGGTGATGGTAACATACTGATGAGGGTAGGAGGAAGAATCAGTGAGAATTGTATGAATGGGGGCAAAGGGGAGTGGGCTGTTGGAAAAGGAGAAACAGATGGGGCCATCAAACAGATAAGCCGCAGATTTTGAGTAAAAGAAATTCATGAACTCCTTGCATTTAGCTTTGGAGGTAAGAATGAAGCAATTGGGGAAAGGAGGAGATGTTTTGTCTGACCCTCTTCCGGGAGGGGAAGGGATATTTCATGACGCAGTCGAATCAGGCCACTAGAATGCTATTCGTCTTTCAAGTATTGAAACATTGGATATGCTTTTCAGCTGCATTAGTCTGCTCAGGAGTTGAGGTACTGAAAAGTGAAATTTGGGAAAGATTCTATATCCAGCAGGACTTATCACAAATTTAAGTCAAATTGATAGTGGCACATATTCAACTGCTTACAAATGAACAGGTAAACCAATAATGCAAATGTCAAAGTGGTGTGGAGGTCACTATCTCCAACACATCAAAACCAGAAGAAGAAGAAGACACCATAGTGGCATAAAACATTGTTGCTATGACTTTAAGAGCCTCTGGATCCAATTTTGACGTTCTCCAAATCCATTCACTCACTGAGTTAAAATTGAGCCCTTTGAATTCACAGACACTGTAGCTACTCATTTGGATGTTTCATTTGCACTGGAAATGGAGACTTCTGCTCTTCCATGGATCTGCAGACAAGGATTCTGCAGTAATTTGTCCCCTCTTTATAATTCATCCTCTGCAAAACTACTTAGCTGAACTTCAGCACACATTCCTTCCAGTCAATATTAGCCATTCTAGTCTGAATGCAGTGCTATAATTTAAGTATGCTACTTTGGCGGATATTATTTACAGGGAAAACTAAGGTGATTACAATATTGTGCAGATACACCAATAATGTTAAACCATTACAATCTATGGAAAATGAGTGAACTATTTCATTTTGGAATTTCTAAAAATTGAGCAAACAGAGCTGTGCTAGATTTTCATGTCAGAATTTTGTTGCTTGCTGCCTAAATATCAGTGAAAGTAAAGTCACCACATTCCTGCTGTCTAAGCAGATAGAGATGACTGGTGGCAGGTTAACCTGAAGTTCGCCATGCTTCAGTTGTGGAGTAAAGTAGAAACTTTATAGAGACTTAGACAGGTACACACACTGAACCCACACTGGTCAGCATCACTCTGCATTGCAAGCCAAAGGCCTGGCCAACTGGGAAATCTTATAAAAGTTGGCATGGATAAATTGGACTGAAGAATCTGTTTCCATGCTGTATAGCTCTATGACTCTATAACTGAGCAAACAAAACCCCAGTAATTATTTCGTTATTGATTACCTAAATAAAAACATCCATGATGTACTCCACATAACGTTACTGTATCAGTGGGAAACATAATTCCTTGATACCTACCCATTTTAAAGCAAATTGTAGGTTTTTTCATTTTTCATTAAGTTTTTTTTACATTCATGTAATTAATAAATCTTTTTAATTCACTGAGCTCTATTTTCCTTAAGCAATGCTGAAAACATTCTCATTAATCTGCAGTGTATTGACACAGATTCCAAAGAATTTGACTTTCATCAAGTTATTAATTATTAAGTCCTTTATTAATTTTCTCTGGCGCCTGGATGTAACCAGCAATTTTGTTAAAATACTCTTGTAGTTTCAGTGGTTTTAGGTGTCTGTTGTATTTTGCACAATCTTGCCTTGCAAAGAGGCATCATAAAGGTTATGAAGGCAGAAGGCCCTCGAACCCAATGTCTAAAACACTATGAAAAGCTCAGAAACAGGAAAAGGAAGCAGAAGAAAACCTTGAGCTTGCAGCTTGAGAGCTCTTTGCTGTGCTTTTACAAGAGACCTCAACCCAAAAAATACTTTCCTTACATTAACAGATGTCTCCAGATAAATTCACATCCTCTGTACAAGTGCTTTCAGCTATACTGGCTTCACTATTCCAAAATTGTACCAATCTGATAAAACCTGCTCCCAAACCTTGCCAAGCATGCTGTCTATGTGAGCGCTGTCTAGGTGATGGCCTAGTGGTATTATTGCTGCACTGTTAATCCAGAGACCCAGATAACATCCCAACGACCTGAGTTTGAATCCCAGCGACCTGAGTTTGAGTCCCACCACGGCAGATGGTGGAATTTGAATTCAGTAAAATGTCTGGAATTAAGAATTTAATGATGACCATGAATCAATTGTCAGGGAAAAACCCATCTAGTTCACTAATGTCCTGTAGGGAAGGAAGCTGCCGTCCTTACCTGGTCTGACCCGCATGTAACTCCAGGCCCACAGCAATGGGTGATAAATGCTGCCCGGCTAGCGATGCCTTCATCCCATTAATGAATAAAGGAGAAGAAAAAAGCAACAACTGTCATGAGCCATATTTTGTAGTCTGCAAGCATTGTGCGTGAGAATCAATTTGAGCCTCTTGAGGTTGAAGTGACTACTTTTTCTTTTACCTGAATGGGTAACACAAGAATATAAGAAATAGGTAGTGAGCCATTCAGCTCGTCAAACCTGCCCTGCTGTTCTATAAGATCATGGCTGATCCACCCCAGGCCTCTGTCTCTTTTATGCGAGCTCCTCATAGCCCTAAACTCATTGACATTTCAAAAATCTTTCGCTGACCTAGCTGCTGCATCTAAGGGTTAGTAGAAGAGTCTGATGTGTTCTCATCATAACAAAGCAACACCTGTGGCCTATTCTGGACCATATGACTCGCCGCTTCCACAACATCGGAGAAAATGTTGGAAACCTTTTTCATATTGTAAAATTGACATGCTAGTGAAGTGTAATTAATTACCTTCATTACCAGCAGGAATTCCTACTCCTATTAATAATGGAATATACACCAGTGTCTGCTTTGATATCCTGTAGAAATTCATACAACTGGTGGTGAGCCATGGGAACCAGTAGACCAGCATCTTGCCTCATTTTCCACTAGCAACTGTGAAGAGCAGGAGAAAAGTGTGTTTTGGTTCCATTGGTGGACCATTCAATCATTTGAATCTCAGAATGAATCATTTTCTGATTCTTTGGAGTTAAATCACTGTATAAGTATTCATTAAACTTCAGGCCATGGTTGGTACCATGCTACATTCAGAGTGAAAATGATGTGAGATTTGAACATATAAAGTAGACTGTAACTCCAAACTAAATAATAAGAGCTACAGCGATGCCATGTTTCTGAAGGAAGATAAAACCAAAGCCCCTTTTGTTAACGCAAGGGAATGGTAAAGATCACATGATTTTATTAGAAGAGAAGCGTCAAATTTCTCTACTGTCCTAAGAGATGACA